TCATGACGTCGCGTCTGACGTCGGTGTGTTTAGGTTATTTATTTATTTATTTATTTAATTTATTTATTTATTTATTTATTTATTTATGTATTTAATTCGAATTATGCCAATTTCGGTCCTCCACAGTAGAAGTGGCTACATTGAAAAATAAATTTAAAAATAAACAAGTGTTTGCGCAGCGTGATCACGTAAGGCACGGCTTGACGTCATGACGTCGCGTCTGACGTCGGTGTGTTTAGGTCGGACGCTGATTAGCGAACTTGTTTGGGGCTGTAGAGGAGAGAAGTGTAGCTGGCAGTGCGGAGACGGCTTTTTGTTAATGTTCCTGATCTTGGGCCGCACGGTTTCTCTGTCATTCGTACACAGACTCACAAGCTGCTGCCCGTCCACACAATCGAAGCCCATTGTGGTCAGTTCCGTGTTAATAAAAGTGGGAAGAATAACTAGTGTTTCAGTACAGCGTTTCGGTAGCGCGAGCGGCCAGAATACAAGAACCATGCCTGAAAGAAGGCCATTTGTACGGTTACCTACTGATGTTTACCCCGTCAACTATGGGTTATATCTGAAACCAGATCTAATCGACTTCACTTTCGAGGGCAAGCTGGAGGCACAAGTGGAGGTAGGTTGTAACGGGGGTTCCCGGGTTCGTGTGGTTGTACCTGCTAGGCAGGGATTTTGTTATGTAATGGCTAACTTTATTAGATGCTAGCCCATTAAAACTGTCAGCCTAAAGGCATAGCTTGTGTGAAAGCTAGCAAGATGCTGCTCAGCTTTCTGAGGAGTTCACACTGGCCTAAAGTCGTAAACCAAGCAAGAACTGGCTGCGTTTTTCTGACCGTCCGCATGCTAGCCTCTTAGCTAACACAACAGTTCCACGTTAGCCTAGCTTGCTTTCTAAACTCATCGCGTACATTAATTATCGTTTTGCCAAAACATTTCACTTGTTAAAGAGCGGCTTGGCATTAACCAGCAAACTTGACCCACTTAAAGTTCGTACAAGAGTAATGACTTGGTGTAAAAAAAAAAAAAAGTCAAGTAGCAGCTAGCTAACGTTGACTAGTGTTTGCTAAATCATCATGTCGCCCCCTCCCACCTGCCTTTCTCACTCAACTTTTCTGACAGTTTTCATAGCTGCTATGCGCTTACACGTGTCCTGACTTGGCTTAAACAGTTTAAACCGTTTCACTTTAGCCTTTAAATATTAGTTGGTTTATGCAGCTTTCTATCGTTGTAAACACAGTGAGCTGTTTGTGGCTTGTAGTTGTGAAATAAAAAAAACTGTCACTGGCGTGCAATACAAAACGAAGATTATTAATAAAAAAATCACGCATTATTTTTTAACTTTATTTATTTATTTATTTATTTAAAATGCTTAAGTAACTTTATATTAAAGTATTTTGTGTCAAATTGTTTCAAGAGTAGGGGAGACCGGGGACAGTTGCAACACTTTTTACATTTGACTCTGTTACTCAGAGATTGTTTGAATTAAACAAACCAAATTTTAATACAATAAACTTACATCTGTCTGTTAATAGTCTAAACCATTTATAGATGATTATAGCATGTACATACTTCACTATTTGCATTTGAAGATGAAAAGTCATTTGTTACAACTGACCCCGGGGCCGGGGACAGTTGTAACATTGTTTGGGGGTGGTTACAACATATTATTAATACAATATATTTCACTGTAAATAAAAGTTTTATTATTTTTTATATTATTGTTAAATTAATAAAAAGTGTAAGTTATATGATATTACAGTG